GAAAGAGCAAGGGGCCCTGGAATCAGAGTGACCTGGGATTGGATCTCAACGCTGTGCCATCTTGGACAAGTTAGGAAGCCTCTCTGAACCCCATTGTAGTAGTTTCCTATAGCCGTTGTACCAAATTACCACAAAGTTAGTGGCTTAAAAGAACACAAATATATTCCCTTGTAGTTCTGGAATCAGAAGTTTGCACTGGATTAAACTCAAGTTGTCAGCAGGGCTGTGTTCTTTCTGGGGAGCCTAGCCTAGGGAGAATGTTTCCTTATCTTTTTTTCCTTGGACTTTCCACATCCCTTGGCCATAGTCCCCTTCACAGCCAGCAGGTGGCATCTCAAATCTCTCTCTAACCCTGACTTCTTCCCCTTCTGCTTTAAAGGACCCTGTGATTACAGATAAGGCAGGGTAATCTCTTAATGTCGGTGGCATTATTCTGCCCACCACACCCCCTCTCCTGACTGAGGTTATGAAATTAAGGTGAGTTTGTGTCATAAGAGCCCCAAGCACAGTGTCTATCACAGCAGATGTTTAATGTATGGTCCCTGTGAGTTTGTGTTTTTATACTAACTTATTTAAGTAAAAACCAGTTTAGAAGGCAATGCAAATGCATCAGAGAAATGCAATGAAAGCCACAGTGTGATAGCATCTCACACCCATGCCAGCTGGCTCCTCGTCTCTGGTACTTGGGGTCCACTGAGCTTTCTGGCTCTTCCTCAGATATTTCAAAAAACCCTGTTCTAAGTGAATTTGCTAACTGGAGGTCTTGCGCATGAAATTCAAGGCACTGATTCTAAAATCTGATGTCACCAGCTTGTTTTACAAAAAGACAAGCAAAATCCTAGAATCCTTCAGCTCTAGGATTGGCCCCCAGGGCAGCGGACTTTGGTCCCTCTTACCCCAGTGTTGAGGCCCATAGAGGACTCCTGGCTGAGGCAGGAAATCAGATTTCTCTTGTGAGGCAAGCCCTGTGCCTCCAAAGGTCTAGTTTCAGGGAGGAAGGAGAGGGTTGGCTGCTCAGGTTCTTACTGCAGGGTCAAGCCTCCACCCGTGGCTGCCATGACAGTCATGCAATCTACGTGCAGCACAAAGAACCGGCTGCAGTGCCAGGGGAGTGAGCCCGGGGACTGAGACTCAGCCTACAGTGCCCTCGCCAATGGCATTTATGCCCCTGGGTTGGCTCCTCCCAGAGGGGGATGCACAGAGGTACAGTACAAGCTCAGACTCTGCCTCTGAAACTAGATGTCCCTCGTGGACAATATGCGGTTCCTCTGTGTATGACCAGGGTGCTTCTCAGGCCAAATGTGACACATCTCAGAAGCTGACAATACTCAGTTTTATTGTATACTGTTCATATTCGAGGAGACAAGTCCATGCCTCAAAGCTTAGTTGTCATGGCAATGTCAAATTTCTAACCAAGTATCTGGACATGCTCACGTCTGTTCATCTTGTCTTGACCAGTCAACTGTTTGCATAGCCCTGGGCCTAGAGAAGCAGCCCTGTTCCCGCCCATTGTGGGTCCCTCAGGGACACTCTGGGGCCTTGTGACCTCACTTTTTGGGAGCTGATCAGAAACCAAGGGCAGAGGTAAGGTCTGTGAATGACTTGAGAGAGGGCTGTCCAGAGAGAAGGGCAGTGAGGTCCTCCTTCGACAGGTCCCCTGCGAATGCTCTCAGTGGCTCCTCAGCTGGTTTGGAGAGGCTGTCTCAGAGGAAACACCCACTCTCTGGGCTCTGAGAGGCTGCCTGGCTTGGTCCTGTTTGTGAGAAAGCTGATTTTAAAATCTCCACATCACCCTGGACTTCTGGTCCAGGCGCAGATGGCATCAGCAATGAAGGTGTTCTGGTTATCTATTGCTGCATATTAAGTCACCTTAAAACATAATGGCTTTATATTTTTTTATTTTTATCTCTCTCATGGGTCTATAGAGTTGATCAGGTTCAGCTGGCTGGGTAGTTCTGGCCTGGGGTTGCTTGTGTAGTTGCAGTTCGGTGGAAGCAGTAGCTGGAGTCATCTATAGGCTCAGCTAGCCTGAAAGTCCAGAATGGTTCCTTCACTCACACCTCTGACACCACAGCTGTAATAACTAGAAGAGCTGGGGCTTGGCCAGATCTCTCGGTCTCCCCTCCAGACTTCTCCTGTGGCTAGCTTGGGCTTCCTCACATTATGGCAGTCTCAAAGTAGTCAGACCCAGAGCAAGCCTTACCTGAGAGCCAGGCGAGAACTGCAAAGGCTTCTTCTGATGTGGCCTTAGAAGTCACTCAGTTGTGTCCACTACAATCTATTGGTGCACACAGGGCCAGCCCATATTCAAGAGGGAGAAGGCAATACAAGGGCATGAATACCAAGAAGCATGATTCACTGTGGGGACCATCTTCAAAGACTATTTACCATAAGGTGGGGCTTCCTATGGCAGGGGAAGGCCCAAGGCAGCCAGGGTAGGACAGCTGAACAGTTCCTTCTGACTCAAGATCGAACTGGACTTTTTCAGAAATGTTGTCATTCATTGACTTCACAATCATTCTCTGTCACCCACCACATTGATGATGACTCAGAGCCAGCCCGCCCTAGAGTCACCAACTTTCAGAAATATAAGTGCCTTTTTCCTATAGGAAATTGCCCTATATTCCTGTCCTCACTACTTAATTCCAATCACTGATTAAAATCTATATTTTATTAACTAAAGCCTTCTTCATGGTCAGCTAGTTCAGATATGCTCAGGAATTTTTTCCTCAACTGCAGTCTCAAAATGATTTAACTCACTAGTGGATTTACAGCCAGACCAAGGAAGTACACAGCTCTATATCCTTCCACCCCAGTGATTCTGATCAAGCTCTTCCCTTTCCAAGTCTCAATTTTCTCCTATAAGAAAAGGGGATTGAGGAGAGAGATGAGGTTGACCAGAAGTCTGGACTCCAAGATAGACCATCATGATCAATAGGTTCCAACTATGGCCTTGGACAAGTCCTTGTCATGCTCCTAATCTCCCACCTGTAACATGGGAAGTCAGGTAAGATGACTCTATGGGTCCTTCCAGCACCATCATTCTTCAATTCAGGCTCCCATCTGGCCCCACTTAAGCATATGCAAGGGTGCATCCATCGCCTTAGGTTTGGGAGTCAAGCCTGCTGTTCAGCACAGACTGTTATTCCCAGATCCAAGCCCCCCAGCAGTTCAAACATTGCAGACAGGCAGGCACTGCCATGGAAACTGATCTGGAATCCATTCACTAGCTCCCAGCTACAGTTGAGTGATGGGTCAGCATGGGTGGCAGGTTGGTACAGGAGAAAAGATTGAGATGAGGGGTCAGCCAGGCTGGGTGGAACTCCAGACTGCTATTTGGTTATGGAGTGACCTCAAGGAACGCCTTAACTTTTCTGAGCCTCAGTTTCCCCACCTGTGAAGTTAGAGCTACAAAGCACACTTTCTCAGAAAGGCTGAAGAGTTAAAGATCTTATTCGGAAAAGCCTGATGCAGTGTCAGTTATTATTCAAGCTGCACACTGGAAAGCAACGTCTGTCTCAAAGGCAGTGGCGCCGATTCTTGTCACCGACACAGTCTTCCCTGAGATAATTTAGGAGGTCTGGGCTTGGGAGCGCTCCCTGGGCAGAGCTGCCATCTTCCCTGTCGGCTATGGGATGGATAGGCCCAGCAGTCAGGCTGGAAGGACTATTCGTGCTGCTGCCTCCGACGATGCCCTGGGCTGTCGCACTCTCCCGCACGCTGTGCTAAAAAATGACTCTGAAGAAAAGTAAGCAGACACTCCGGGCCATAAATATTTCAGAGCGGAATGAGCGTCCTTCCCCCAGCACTGACTTGCCATATATATTATTTATAAAACCATAACTTGAGTTGAAAGGTAGTCGTCGAAAG